TTTTTCTATGCCTCAGATTTGGCACAGAAACATCTTGGCTCATCCACAGTGGCAGAATCTTCAAAGGCAAACCTTATGTGTATCAAAGAGTGTAGCATATTTAGTGAAAAGAAGGCAAATCAGAGGAAAGCACTGCAAAACATCTGCTGAGGTTACAGGGCTGTGAGGTTAACATAATCTTTTTTTTTCTAAATGGCCAGTTCAGTGGGTGACCGCAGTCTACCTTCAACTCTCAAGGCAACAGCGGTTGTTGTAGTACATTAGCAACACAGCGGCCGGAAGGAAAGTTTAATCTTTATAATGCTTGTATCAGAGGCATGCAAAGCTACTAGAACAGGTGTCCTTTTGGGGCTCTATGCCTGAAGCATTGACTAACAGGATCCCCACTGCTGCTAGTTGGGTTCTTGGAAAGTATGTTAACAAAACCTTTCAGGTTTTAGTGCTTAATGTTTTCATCTCTATTAAGGTGAACTTAATCATCCTTAAAATCAAACTTTACATTTTAAGTCTGTGATTACAGCACTGTGTTCATCACAACTGATTACATGTAATCTGGATTACATAATCAGATCCTAAAAAAAAAGTACTTGTAATTAGATTAAATGGCATGGTGGTTAAAAAACATTTCTTAGTATTATCAATGTAAAAACAGTGGTGCTGATTTATATTTTTGTGGAAAACTGTAAAAAAAAAATGTTCAGGATTTTTACAGAATGTTGAAAGAACAGCATTTATTTAAAAAATAAATCCTTATACTGTCCTTGCTGAATGAATGTATTATATATTTATTTCTATAAAAAATACCCATCTGAACAATAGTGTACATATAGCGTCCTCCCATTTAATATGCATTTAAATGTATTTTCCTATCCTAATGGCAGATGTCTGTATGCATTTAGCATTGTTTTTCCCTGCTGTCCATCCCTATCAGACTCATTTTTGGGTGCTGATCTACCAGTTAAGAACCACTGTATCAGATGTAATGTTCTCTAGTCTAACAAAATAGGCCACTTGTCGGTGAACTGGACCAAAGACTAGAGAAAAGCCTTTTATAATGTCTGGGGAGCGCCAACTCTCACTGTTCCGGATCAATGAATTGCAAATTGGAAGATAGAGACACGAAAATGGCTTCCATCTTTGTGAATTTTCCTCTCATTGATTCTAGACTTTAGGCATTTTGTTTCATATGATGAGTTGTGATGTTTTAACAATAAAATCAGTATCACAAGCATACTCAATAATACATCCATTTCTGTTTCTCTCTCTCTCTGCTTATTCATGAGACAATGTTTGTATGTATATTTCACAATAAATCTGCTTTGCATGCATTCATAATCCCTCCCCTGACAAAACCCATTGCAAATGCTCCCTATATTTGCACCATAGCTTCAGGCTATAAGCTGTAACCACAAAATTCACATCCAATTTAAAACCTTACAACACCACAGCCTATTGAAATTAATCTCACGATCTCGCTCCTTCCCAACAGTCCTCTCAGACCGGAGGCCTTTAGCAGTGTACACGTGGCCCTTCAGCTGCAGTGATATTGGCAGGGGGCTTCGTGAGGTCTCAACTCGTGTTTCGGCCCCATGTGGCGGCACACTGACAGGTGGGATTGCTGCAGTGTTGCTGTGGCAGTAGAGGCTTACCGTTTCAACACTAACAATAGTCAAATACCCAGCAGCCGAGGAGAAATCCAACGCCGACCTCCAGGATAGGATAAGCGAGCAGTGACTTACTTAGGCTTTGGCAGTGCCAGCTTGGCTGATTCACAGATTTCCTTTCATTTCACACCTTATATTGTTCTTTTATTCATGCTTCTTTTTCAGTTTCACTATGAAAACATGCTGTAACTTTGAGAACTCAAAGCTTTGTCTACAGTGAAAAAAGATCATTTATTGAAACAAAGATGCAAAAGCAACCTGTTCCATTTCTGAAACTTTCTAAGGATAGACTGACAGACACATGAGGACTCATGTAACCCCACCAAAATGTACATGTGAACAACTCATATTTCATATTCACAAACTAACAATCAAGGCTTCTTTTTTTAAACATTAGCAGCTGTAGAAAAATGGCTGAAAAAAAAAGTCAAAAACTTGACACTACAGGGGTTCCAAGCTTTAGATATCTGAACTGAAAACTCGAAATTCATCTTATTACTGGATGTGAATGACATGTATGATCAAAAATATAACAATTTTTTGATCAACATATTTTAGGTTGTGCTGAATTCATACTTCACACAGATCTGGGCAGGTTGTATTTTTAGGTCTCAGATATCTTAGTGATAGCCCAGGTGAGGAGGCTTTTTTTTATTTTTTATTTTTTTATATTTTTCCAAGAGGTAGTAGAAAGACAAGACAGTGAATCATAAAGAGACTATTCCCTCAGGAAAAGAAACCAACACAATAGAAACAATTCAGCCGCAGCCAGAATGGCTTTCTGTTCTCGTTGATGCTCTGGGAGGGACCAAACGCTGAATTTGATACAGAAAGAGAAGTGGACAGTGTAATTTACAAGGCAACCAACATTACCTTCTTGAAAAAATAATAATAAAAAAAAAAACACATAAAAGAAAATAAATTAACAACAACAATTGATAATGATACTAATATTAATACTAATTATTATTACTATTATTATTCCCTCTCTATATTTACTATAGTATAATTATGTGAGAACATTAAAACAAAGCAATAAAAACTTTCTCTCTTTATATATATGTGTACCACTGTATATATATTAATTATCTCTCTCTGTAGGCTTATAATGTTATTAATAATCCTTAACAGTATTGTGATAACATAGGGTAAAGGGGAAAACCACATTTTGATTGATCATACAAAAATATTAACTTTTGATGGGCCATAATGCACTTAAATTTGTCAGCTTGAGTCATGAGTTGCTCCAACAACTGCTAAAACACATGGCTGGGTTATGATGCACAACCGTCCAAAATTTATGTAATCACATTGATGTAAGCCCTAACACTCTCCTGTTCCTGTGTATATAGGTCTATAGACTAGATGAGGCAGCTCAACTAAAAATCCACATGCTCTATGAATCTAGGTCAACAGACACAAAGGGATTGTTTAACTTGGAACAGCCAAGAAAACAGGATTCTCTACCTGTCATGCCTATTTCTCATACATGCGCAAGCAGACTTATTTTAATCATTTGTTATCCTCGTAGTGAGCAGCATCTACCGGTTGCCATGTTGTGCCTATTTTAACACAGTTTTGACTCTCTCTCTCTTTCCAAATGTCTGCTAAACTGTGGCTAACCCCAATTTTTCCCCTGACTCTTTTTTTTTTTTTTACTAAAATTCAGTGCTTGGCAGGTGTTAATTTTGGACCCTGGCTGTATGCCATGGTAGCCAATGCATCATAGACTCGTACATGTTTGGAGGACACTGTCTGTACATAGTACTTAGCATAGCTTTTAGATCTTTGAACACAATGGTACCCTTACAGTGATAGCACTTCAGCAAATTGGTGAGAGCAAACATGAGCTTATTGAGAAAGTGACTGGTTGCACAGTTCAAGCATAATGCTTTGTGTTGAATAAGAGCCAGTAGACGTAAAATGCAGCACATAACCATCTAATGTAAAATGTGTAATGGGTTATAGAAAGTTCTCTTGATGCAGCCCTGCATATCTAATTTTAATACAAAAACTACACTGTCAGACTCTGCTAGACTCAAAAAGGGCAGTCAGATACAAGCAGCCAGGCTTTTTATTTAGATATGATGACTAAATAATGGTGCATGGGCCATTAGTCAATCATTACATCTAGAAAAAAAATCAGGGCACACTTACAAAATACCATTAAATCTATTAATACAATAATAAGACACTCTTCGGGTGAACTAGATGCATTCACTGGAGAAAAAAACGATCAAGGATGGTCTGGGGGAAGCAGCAGTATATAACATGCTGAATAGCAGGGGTCACAAAACACATCTAAAGCAGCATAAAGTATCAGTTCATATAGACTCCAAACACATCAAATCAGTGCCTGTCACTTTCTGATAGACTAAAAGCACAAATTGCTTCGCTTTATGTAAATGATTAAAAATGCCCTGAAAAGCCCTGCCATGCAAATAGTTTTAATAGCATTATCTTTCTATAGAATCCACCCTCTCCAGTGAATTGATCCTTTGAGACCATCACCACCTTGTTTTGAGGAACAGACAGATGCATGGATGTCCTTGGCTTTAAGTTGGGAGGGAAGAGTGTTCAGGGAATTAATCAGAGCCAGAGCATTTGAACTAGCTAAGCTTCAGTCAAATAAATGGGCCACCTAAAACAACACCACCAATTACCACTGATTAAAATGAGGACACTTGGCTTCTGCTCCTTCTTGACTCTTCAGTTTCAAACATGCAATGTCTCTGTGTTCCATTAGGCAAATGAGGAGAAGACTGCTCATGCAAAACCTATGGCAGTGAACCCTCACATCCAGGAAATGTTATTTGAAATGGTGCTCACGCTTCGTACAAAAGGTGAACACATCAGTGTCAGAAATTCTCTGCCTCCATTTTGTGAATCCTATTTTCAACCTTGAAAAAAGCCCACAGAGCCGAAACAAGCCTCTAATGAACTTCTGCAAAGTGCCACTTTTAATTAGCAGAGAAGGGACCTTAGACAGCTCTCAGGCTATGACAAAGCTGTCATCGTTAGCATGACTAAGAGCTTCATGCAACAGCGAGAGTCCCAGAGAGGAGGGCAATGAGACACGAGAGTAGGAAAAAGGAGGCGGAAGAGAAGAGCGAGACAGAGCGAGAGAGAGAGAGGGAAAGGTGAAGACAAAATGAGAGAGAGCGAGATTTACTGGCAGATTGTTCCAGAAGGATCATTCTAACAGAAAATGGGTCATGGAATTGTCATCGGACTGAAACCGCTGAGCCTCCCATCCGTAGTGATTGCATTTATTTCTTGAGCGAACACTAGGATGACCCTTTCCCTCCATCGCAGAAACAGGAAGTGCAGTCATACCTGCAGTGTTTGTGTGGGCCGCTCAGGGTCTCGATGACAAAGCACTCCCCGTCATTCAGGCAATAGGCCAGGTCTTTCTCCTGACATGGCTTGAAATGCTCCGATTTCAAAGGCGGTAGAGTTGGTGATGCTGAGGGATAAAGAAGAAAAGAGGAGAAAAATTATGCCATGCAACAGATTAAGAGGAAAAATATGTCAGCCAGGTGAGCAAAAGGTTAGGTGAGTGAGTCAGAGAGACCAAGAAGATGACTAATAGTCATAATATGGGGTATAATGCCACATATTTTGCAAAATCACAAACATGTATGACCTTCTTCTGTGTAGATTTATTTCTTTTTTTGGCCATAAAATTGAAAGTTGTATGTTGTTTTGGACCCCATTGACTTTCATTCTGACAAAAACAGTTGAAACAACAGCTGAAATATCTTTTTTTAATGTTACACTAAAAAAATAATTAAAGTCTAACAGGTTTGGAATGGCATGAGGGGTGAGTAAAGGGATAATTCACCCAAAAATTAAAATTCTGTTGTCATTTAACTAGATCATAACATACCAATCCTCTATTACATTTAGGCTGATGATACATAGGGCAACTTTTTGAGCAATATTGCTGGGCAACTTTGGTTAATGTTGGCATCAACGGGCAACTAGGTGAGACACAGGGCCTACGACTGATTTAAAGTATCCAGATAGAAATTTGTTACCCATTCTCAGTGGGAAAGTGCCTAAGCAACATTGCTCAAAAAACAACCCAGTCTCATGGCAAATACGTACCTGGGGGCACATTTTTGCAAGACGCGAAATACGTACCAATAAGTACATATCACTGCAGTTTGCAAAAAAATGAACACTAGAGGCAGTAAAACTCCGACACCTTTTAAATTATTTTCACAGAGTACAGGTGGATCTCAATAAATTAGAATGTCGTGGAAAAGTTCATTTATTTCAGTAATTCAACTCAAATTGTGAAACTCGTGTATTAAATAAATTCAATGCA